GCCTTCTGATCATTTGATGGAGCCCCTGACTGGGGCGTGTGCTAGAGCCAATGCAGTTGACACAAACGGAGGAACCTGACAGAAACAATCAAGACCACAATGAATCTCCGCCTGCCGTGCAATCCAAAGATTTGAATGAGCTGCCCCTGGCCGCACAACCAGCAGAATCAGATGATCTCATAGTGCTACCGCAAGGCCACTGTGCGTACTATGCTGTCAATGTAAGTCTCCTCACTTACATTTGAAACCCTGACAAAGTTTCTGATTTCGCCAATATTGTCCGCTGGATAGAAGAAGAGCACCGTGCTGTCTGCCCAGAGGATGACAGTACTGGTCCTGGAGTGAACATAGAAGTCTTGTCTATGGCATTTATGGGTAGAAGACTACAACTGCTGCCTGCTCTCCAGAACCACATGCCAGACATGGACTCAAATATTCGCGCGTACATCCTGCATCGTCCAGGTCATTTTAGCGCTGTGACCTTTGCAGATACTTCATGGGCCTTATGGGACAATGGCGGTAGGGTGCACATGGTAAGTAGTATTAACTCTTTCTATAACCAAGTAGCAAGTACTCACTCAATTTGGATTGTCCGTCAGGAACAGTATGTTACTTCGCACCCGCAAGCGCTTCAGTCTCTGGAGTGCAATCCAGATGCACAATCACCTCCTTCCCCTGCACATGGCCAAGCAGTGTCCCCTCCCTGTGTAGATCGGACAGCTTCTGCTCCAAACAATGAAAGAACCCCCTTAGAAGATGTTGGTTGTGCCCTTCCATTCTGTGGCCACACAACCACAGTTCGGTTAGCATGCACAGTGAATAGTCTCTTGCAATAAATCGCAGTTTCCCAGTGGGACTGTACACTAAGTGTTCGGCTTTGTAGTTTGTTTTCTTGTTTTGAGCCTTGCGGGACTTGATCCCGTGACTTGTAACCTGTGTGTTTTGTTTGTGAGTGTTGAGCCCAATGGGACTTGATCCTTGAGTCTGTCACTAGTAGTCTCTGTTCGGTAGTCCTAGGCCATTCGGCCTTTTCCTTTTGCCTTTCATAGGTCTAGGTCCCCTTTTCCCCCTGTTTCCATCTAGATACAGATGAGTCTTGGGTTGTTGCCTTTGGAGTCCCTCCTAGCTCTAGGCAGAGGGTAAAAGTAGCGGGCATTTGGTTCGGGTCTTTTCAGGTTTTCGTTGGCTGGGGAAACTCTGCCCGCCCGTTGTTGGAGCGCTGCTGCCCTATTTTGGGTGAGGTCATCTTCTTCCTCGAAGCCCAGCCATTGCTGGGGGTTGGGAAACGAAGTTGAAGATCGCACTGCTGCTATTTTGCAGCTCTGCATGAGTGCTTCCACAGGACTGTGTTGTTGGGTTTGGGTGCTGCAATCTTCCACTTGGCAGCCATATCTGTTGTTCCTCCTCTCGAGGAACTTTGTCTTCTTCAAAGTGATGGATCGGTTGTCTCCTTCTTCATCACTTCCAGCGAGCATTTCCGTGCGGGTGCTGAGCTGGCGCTGTTATCATTAGGGTTGCTGGTTCAGATTGGCACGTTGTGACAGTTGTGGGGTTACTGCTGCTACGGCAGCCATAGCCAGGGGTATGAGGTGGCGAGGAGGAAGACGAAGACTCCTGCATACTTCGTTGAACACTTGTTTCTGGTTGTTCGGGGTTGTTATAAATGCCGTTGTGATTCTTGGAACAAGTACTCTGGATTGATTGGAGGAGGATGAGGGATTGCAGAATTGAAATTCGTTTTTCAATTCTCTGTGTATTTTGAGCTTCTGTTGTGCATATCTTCTCCGGTGTTGTGTGGATTTGCCTCCTTCGAGTCTACTCTGCAATTGCATGCGTGTATGGGAACGTGTGAATTCGTTGTGGATTGAAGTTCAATCGGGTACATAATTCTCTGCTCCGAACTATGAAGGGATGGTCACTGCTAGCCTCTGTCGCGAAAAAACTGCAACTCTTTGTCTTGTCTTCAACCTCCCCCACCTCTAATCGCTTGCCCAATATGTTGCCATGGCCTTAATCTGCCATGCTTAAATAGCTGCAAACGTCAGCCTGCCTTCCTGCTGACATGTCAGCAGAAAGCATGTGTCTCTACTGCGTGGACTATCCAGGATGCCATCATCCACCACATCCTCTCTTAGCATGCCCCACATGCAGAGTTGGGCATACACTTGCTGCAAACGCCATCGGATTTCCTTCTTTCTTGGCCGATGAACGGCAAACTCAACAGCCTGAGCAGGAAAATAGAGTATCATGTGAACCACTTATAGAGCGCTATGCTGAAGGGCTAACACCACCAGGACGAATTGTTGCAGAACAAATCCTGCAGAAGCTAGACAACCTTGTTTTGGATGACCCCCTCTTGCCACAGTCGGCGTCGTCATCGGTCCATAGGGAAGGAATTAATGCCGAGGAAACCCAAGACACCTGCTCAATGCCGTTCTGTGATGATCCACCTGAGATTAGGCTAGCATGTGGGTTGCATACATTGTGTCATGAGGATTAGGAAGGTACAGCCCATGCGTCTTTTTGTTTTCATACGTATGCTGACAGTCAATGTTGTACTCACGTTCGGCATCCTGACATGCATGTCCAATTTGTAGACAAGGGCTCGAGCGGCAATGCCTTTATAATTGCGGTCGGCGTGCCTCTGTGTTCCTTGCCTGTGGGAGCCACGTTGCCTGTGATATGATGATATCTGTCTACGCCGTGCCCTTGGTGGGTGCAGCAACTGCAACTGCAAGAATAGGATGCGATGCTTCCACAGTCCGCACCCGAATCGGTGCTGTCCGGTCTGCAGGGGTGGCCACCTACCATAGCCATCGGCTACTCCTCATCAAAAATCATCCTGGAACCCAAACACTCTCTGACCTCTCATGTCGTTCTAGAGTGGTCTGCTCCAACGGTGTGTATAGAGAACATACTGAACTCACTCTCTCTCTCTCTCTCTCTCTCTCTCTCTCTCTCTCTCTCTCTCTCTCTCTCTCTCTCTCTCTCTCTCTCTCTCTCTCTCTCTCT